GTGGAACACAAAAAAATCAAATTTCAGTCTTATTTTACATTTTTTTCATTCTTAAGAATGTCTAAATTCAGTTAAACTAGCAATTCCCTATTATATTTATAAATCTTTATAACATTATACAAAAATTAGATTTTTTTTTAAAAATTGAAATTTTGCCGGGAACGGGGCTTTAACTTTAAAATTAAGGTGTTATTATGCTTTCTCTATTATTCATTGGCAATCTTTTACTTTACTTTATTAAAGTATATCAAGTTTTTATATAAAAAAAAAATAAATTAAATTTCATAGCTAAATGAAAATCTACTTGTAAAGAAAAACCATATTTCAATTGTAATCTTAATTCTCTTCAAGATCAATAACATGGGTTGCTAGGATTTTTTAATATTCATTAACGACTTCACTCATAGCAATCCATAACAGACATTAAGGATCAGAGAAAATGTATGCCTCAAATGCCAAGACTTGGACTAATCTCATTGGACTATGTATTTACTAGAATTGCCGCAGCGCTGTAAACTTTCATCGATTTACTATTTTTTTGCCATCTTTGGGGATGAAGAGCATGTGGTTAATAAAACTTCTAGCAAGAGGTTAAGAGTTCAAATACTAAAATCACTAATACGGAATCAGCCTCAAGCGAGGTGTGTTTCTTCGATTACAATTTACCTGCTAATACTCAATTTCATTGGTCGCAAGTTAAGATGTTACGGCAGAACACGCTTAAAGTAGGGTGACCATATCTGGCTTAAGATAATATTAGAAATAATAGCATCCAGCTAAAAAATTAAAATGTTGAAGATTTAGTTTCAAAGAAAAATTAGAAAAAGAAACGACACACCAAGGAAGAACTTCTCACATAACTATAAATAGATCCAAGTAAAAAAATGAGATCCATCTTGAATCTAATGACAGAATTTCATTTCAATAAGCGGTACAACCGGCTAAAAAACCACTTGGAGACCTACGTTGTAAGTGAAAAATAGCTACTCAGAATTTGCTGGCTGTGATCATTGCATTAGCCTAGTTTTGGAGTGTTAGAGTTTTTATGCTAACTACGTAAACCTTTAATACACTGTCAACTGTGTGTTTGTTATTTGTGTAATAATTTATGATGTGTCGCACTGAGCTGCTCATGTGCCGTGTAGTCTGTAACGATTACGTTACAAGCGGCGAGTCTTTGTCTATGTTTTTGGATATCAAAGGGCACGCGATTACGGACAAAAGCATAAAAATGCTCTGATGAGGGCAAGAGTTGCTTCTGCATTAAATGACAAGAGACATTAGCAAAATTATGACCTACATTAGAAAAATGTGGGGCTGCGAATTAAACGACGAGTACCTCATCTCAATGAATCATCAACTCTGATGACCACAGGTTTCTAAATTAGATTCTTATGACCTCTTAACCTATGACCTCATTTAAATGTATTGTCTAGTATACTGTATAGTATATTGTGTTGTTTATTTTGTTCAGACATGCTATTGCATGGCTTATGTGTGCTTAATGTCATAATTATTGCATCAGATAAGTTAATTGATTGACTTAACCCTCAATACTTTGAAATCTTATGCTAAAATAGTTAAACATACACAACTTCCTTTCAATTTCCTCTTACCACCATATTTTATCTTATAAATTTATTTTTCTTTTATTCTTTTTCTCACTATCCAATTTTACGCTACCCATGCACCACTCATTTTCCAACACACCACCCCATGTCAACTATACCCATTGTCCATGTAAAATATAGGTCAGCATTCCCCATCCTGTCCTATATTCCCACAGTCCTTAAAACAGCTTGTAGCCTCCATGGATTAAATGCTATTCCGAGAGATCAACCTCCCACCTGACACCATCTGTGTAGCCTACATTTTGAAAATTCATAGCATCAATATTTAAAATGGCCTAAATTGATGAAAATAAGGTGGAATGTTATTCTTACTGCAGAGAGGGTGAGATCTGGAACCCCTAATTTGCTGGAAATATGCACAATCATATCTAAGTTGACCAGGTAGTCATGAATCGTCCTGGAAAGCAATAAAAATAAAGAACATTAAAAATTATGAGTAAGAATCGTTAAAAAAAACTAATGAAGAAACATCATAGTTAATGAAAAGAAAACAGCATAAAAAATGGACTAAGAAATATAATGAAGAGTGTGACTGATATCTATGGCAATTTTTTTCTCTCTTTTGTGGGCTATGGCAACTGTTTTACTTTAAATAAACCATTTTCAACTTTAACCTATAATTACTATTTCAGCAGTCAAAATGCATGGGGTAAGGTATATAAAAGCTCACTAACATAGTTTCTATTCTAAGAAATTTATAAGCACATATATGCTGTGACATTTATTTTGTTTTATATTCTAGGAAATTACTGTAGGTTAATTCTGCATTGCTTATCTACAAGCATAGCTAATATTAATATTAGTTAAGTAAAAATATAGTTCAAAGTCACCATAGACCTAGGCTTACCCCGGTATTCTTAAAACAAACTTTAGTCGTAGTTCGAGCTAAAACTTCAAAATTACGTCATTTCGTATTCTTAAAACAAACTTCGACTAGCACTGCGACTAAATGACGCGAACCTCGACTAAAATGATATCTCTGCAGGCCGATTTTTTTAGTCAGCCTAGGGTCAGGCTAAATCGCTGACTTGAAATATTTACCCCACTAAAAACGTGTTTTCTGTAACTCACAATAAAGTGAAACAAATAAAAACGATTGTATACGCAGGTTTGATATATCTTCGGTGTGTTAAACAAGAGAGACATCAAGTTTAGCTTCCAAAAGGAGAAATTAACATGTTTCTTCCAGCCACAGCAATAGTTCCTGATTTGCACGAAATCCCCTGGCGTTGCGGTCACGTAGCTTTGCCATAACAACAACAAAGTTCTCCAAAGAAAGCAAATTTTCAGTGATTGTTCAAATTCTCTATCGTAATATGTTAAAAACTAATATAGTTATTATTATAGAAAATTAATTAAGCGAATGATGATCTATTATGAATTATGATGAAATACGTTTTTGAACCACAGACGGCAGCTTAATATTCATCCGCATTACTGGATCTCTAAAATTTTGTCTGCTTTTAAAATTAGCTCTTTTTATTGGTTAGTTTGATAGTTGTTGCTTGCCAGTCGTCTTCAGCTGAACTAAAACTGGCACTTGATTTAATCGTAGTTAAAACTTCGACTATGTTGTTTGTGAATACAAATTGAGGTTGAAGTTGCAACTAGCACTAAATGAAGTTCTAGTTCGAAGTTCGACTAAAGTTTGTTTTAAGAATACGGGCGTAAGTGTCTTAATGAGTCTTGTTAAAATTTTAAATATTTTTTGACTACAGTACTTTTACAATGAGAAGAGATGTGTCAGTTTTTCAGTCTATAAGCCCAATCACACTAGGGTCGGCCCAGGGCCAGCTTAAATACAGCCGACTGAAACAAATTTTCCGTTCACATTTAGTATTTTAAGTCGGCCCAGGGCCGCCTTACGAATGTTCACACTTCTCTTTTGGTCCGGGTCGATGAATTGCAGGACAGGAAGTTTGAGGTGATAGCATTACATGATGGTGGAACGGTAAATCACAACCTAGCAAAAACACATGGAATTTGTGCGAAACATGAACCGAATTTCAAATATTGTCCTTATACTTTTTTGATTTTTTAAGCGTAGCATTCTGCTTCATGATTATGGCGATGATAATTATTATAATAACAAAGGCCTATAATTAGCGCAGCTCGACTTTACTCTGTACAAAACCAGACTCGCGATTTTGAAAGTCCATATCTGTATATTGTAAACTGTATAGGCCTATGTAAAACTGAAGGTTGCTGTCAATGTTTGGACACAGATTGTGAATAAGTAGCATCGAGATCTATCTATTTGGCAATAATAATTATTTTCATATTAGGTTCATTCACAAAAAATTGTTGACGCTTTTTAGAACCAGCTACGCACATAACAATAATAAACGATTATTTTTTTCGGTCCTCAGGGTGACGTGAGTAGCTTCACGAACGTCGACACAAAACGCACATGGTTGGTGAGGATGATGTTCACAGAAAGTATATCGCTATACAGTGTTAGGATTTTAGTATATAAACTTGTGAAATTAATGTGTGCTATACAAAAAACGGAGTTTCTTGAGCTTGTAATAGGCCAATATATTTTTTATCTACTGGAATTCTTTAACTGTGGAAAAGAAAGTCGTCATCTGTCAAACTGCTCATGCGTAAGCTTTGTATCATGTGGTATTTCCCCATGTTTACAACTTGGTTCGTGATGCTTATGCTTCACACGGAGGCTGTGAGTAATAATTAGTTAGGCATGGAGACCTTATATATAACAACTTTTATTAAAAAACTATAGTTCAACTAAATACAATTTACTCTACAGTTTCCTTAACAATTTATTTCTCAATGGTAATTTTTCGCGCAAGTCAGTTCGAATGAATGTTGTGGTAGATAAGATGTCAAAATCGACCACAATCAGAGCGAACTTGGGCCTGCTCAGGTTCGGCTTACGTTCAGATATAAAGTTGGGTCGGCCGAGGTCCAGCATTGCGGGACCTGAGCCAACTCAAAAGTCGGACTAACTTCAGGTCGGCTCAGGGCCGGCTTAACATTTATTGATTGTTCAGACTTAAAAAATGCCGACCCTGGGCTGGCCCTGAGCCGACGTAAAGTGCGATTGGGGTCTATGGTTTCTTCTTTTACAGACCTATATTCATTTGTTTACATGTAAGACTTTTAATATATAAACATAGATGTACACTGTATTGGCTAAGTAGAGTAATCAAGTTAAAGGTATCTTAGTAAATTATACCTCCATGGTAAAACATTTTCTAAAATATTTAAAATCTCTCTAATCTCTATTTACTTTGAAGTTGATAACTTATCTGATCTTTTTAAATAAGCAAGACAATGATAATAATTGAATTTTTTGATTGACAGATAAACCGACTAATCAGCGAGCGTCATTTAGTCACGTGATCAAAAACTTTTTCTTGGACATTTTAATTTCCTTAGACAGCTGGTTGTCTACGCGAAACATATGTGAGCCTAGTCCTAGATGTCTATGCTTGGTTATAGATACCATGATTTACACGAGCAGCGCATCAGTGACTTGGCCTTTGTCGACAACGAGGTTGACTGAATACAGCTTTTTCCCTCTTCCTTTGGGAGTGAAATACAAAGGCTTTTTTAACAATTTCCCCGCCTGTTCCATGAAATAGATTTACACTATGAATATATGATTCATTTGCATACCGCCTACTGTACCCTGAATTCTCTTTCTTAAAGAAGGTTGATAGCAAAAAAAAATGTTCGTCAACTCGGTGAGTCTAGCCGCCATTGTCTAAGGTTTCCGTGACTTTGTGGGCGGGGCTTCACATCCTTGTCGACATTGCAGTACCCGCAGCTTACTTGGACTTTCAAATTGGACTTGGAATTCAACCCTGGCCATCAGGCGCAAGCTCGGTGGTCTAGAGGTATGATGCCAGGCTAGTGATCTGGAATCGTGGGTTCGAGTCCCACCCGAGAACAACTTGCGATTTTTTTCGCAGTTGTTTTCAAATGTACTGAGTATTCGGTACATTTCCACGTCAGGTAGGGAAAAAATTACACCTAGACATGTCAATTGTTTCCCTATCTTAATAAACAAATATCTAGCCAATCATATCTACACTAAATGTAAACTATATTTAAAACATATAATAAATTATTTAAAAGCAAGCCCACTGAATAATATTATGACTTTGAATATTGCTTTACTAAAATCAGGACAATACATTTGGTAGCATCAAAAATCAATTTCCTATTTATAAAAACAAAGATGAATAAAAGTTGTAACTGTGTCAGTCCGCTTTATAACAATATAAACAAAATAACAGAACTTGGCACTTTATTGTTATTCTTTAAAGTGCTGAGATCTGACATTTTTTAATATCATTTAAACATTAGTTTTTATATTTCATTATTTATCTATCAAACAAAATAGAGTGCCTATTTTAATAACATGCACTGAAAAAGAGAAAAATGAAAGAAAATGTAATTTACTTATAATAAAAACAACAAAAACATCTTACTGGATGGCTTCTTGAGGTAAGCTTGGATAAACAGATCGCAAGTAGGTCATAACGTATTCTGAGACAAATTCCATCCCTGTAAGAAAAAAAAAACATTCTGTGATAACATTTTAATAGCAATATAAAACCCCTTGTCAATATTTGATATGTTAACAATTAATAAATGGACAACCCCAGGCTAGTAGTACGAATGTTATCATATTTATGTCCTCGAGATCTACGATTTTCTGTTACTGTTATGCAAACACTGACGTGGGCTCTTTACATGAGCAGGCTGTCACATTTTTATCGCTGCATCAATCTCGTAAATGAAAAGTTAATCAGTTGAACTCAAAGTTAATCTGTTGGTTTATAAAATCAAGCAATCTTATTCATGGTACTGCTGTCAATTAATATAGTATAACCCTACAGATACCATATATTATTTTTTAAATATGTACCGTAGGAATTTTATCTGGCTTTATAAACTAATTTATTTTTACTTAATCCTGGATTACGGCAAAGTATACGGATTTATGTTAACATTTCGGCAACTGCCCCCACTAGCATTGATACCATATTCATTTTGTGATCGGGGTCTGTGTTGTCTAGTTCAGAGGTCATACAATGCAGACCAGACTACCACATTGCTACAGTAAGTGCTCAATTCCAGCCAAGGCAGCAGCCGAAACATTTAGTAAAATCATTACCTTGGCTTAATTGAGAAATATCTCAAAACTAAATTGTTAATATGAAAGTTCTAGTGATTTAGCCAGAGGCTCAGCTGGTCTGAGGCAGAGCTAGTGACAGGTTCAACTGGTCAGAGGCTATTCAATAAATACATTTGAAAATCAATGTTTCAACAACATTGTCAACCAATTAGGTCATCTGATCCTGAACTAATCTACATTAAATGATTTACAGTAATCATTAGGTCAATTACTTATTGTTAAACCTCTAACAAGTACATTATATATCAAAATCTATTCCTTATATATTTAAATTCTTTCGTTGTTGCTTAATAATGAATCAATTAAGAACTACTTTCTTTGGTCCTCAAAACTGGACTTGTACTGAAGAAACATAATTTTTTATTTTAAAATTCTGATAAAAAAATAGATAAAAATTTACATACACTAAATTAAAAAGATACAGTTTAAAACTTAATCTTATCTTTAAAATTATTGTGGGAAAAAAAATATACCAATATATTAGTACTGATCAAGTAACATGGATTAAATTACTACATAAGTAATTTGGCAAGTCAAAGTACTGTACATTGATAACTATTGCTCTATATTACTTACTATGGTTTATGTTAATCATTCTTAGCTTGTATTAGCTCTACATGGTCTATATTGATCTGTACTGATCTGGGGGGGGGGGCTTAATGATCAGTTGAGGGGCACTAATTCGCAAAATAAGGTGACTTTAGGTGACTTTTAACTACTTGACCGTGATTTCTGGGGGGATGGCTAGGTGGGTTGGTGCGATTAATTTTGGTGCGATTTTTTTTTGTTCTCTTTTGTTATCAGAGCCAAAACTCAAAACAAGAGATTTGCATTGGTCTGTTCTGTTCATCACTGACCATTATCATAATGGAATGATGCAGACTAGTGAAATTACAGCGCTGTATGTGGCTGGTCACGCATTGGTCAATCTACTAATTAGATGGTCACCAATTTGGTAGTCAGTAACTTAATAAATTATCAAATCAGTGAATATTGTGTTTCAGAATGTGTGCAAGTGAGCTGTTGCATTCTGGATATTTGACTAACAATAACAGTGATACACAGGGCATACATACATTACTTCACAAAAGCCAGGTTGATAGGCTCAACCTTTGGAAAGTACAGTACGTTAGTAATATTTTCCTATACTATAGCAAAGATTATAAAATGCAGGCCTATTAACGCCATCCAGACAGTGTCGTACAACGTGATTTGTTAAAGAGTTGGTTCTTTCTGGTTAAACTCTGACGCGATAGGTCTGCGTCGGAGACAGTCGTGTCGTGGAATATTAAACATGTTAAATAGTCTCATGATAACTAAAGACTGCGTCAAACAACGCTAACTGAGTTGGCCTTTATAGTATAGTAGCCGCAAGATTTTAGGGGTTCTACCAAACTGCCCTTCAGCAAAATCTTTCCTATTTGGAAAAGATTGTCTCCCTGTGTACTGCCTAATTTACCACCAGAAGGACCGTACTGGAAAAGACCCTGGTATTCTTAAAACGAACTTTAGCCGTAGTTCGAGCTAAAACTTCAAAATTAAGTCATTTTGTATTCTTAAAACGTATTCTAAGATTATACCTCCTCAGGCCGATTTTTTTAGTCAGCATAGGGTCAGGCTAAATCGCCAACTTGAAATATTTACCCCACTAAAAACATGCTTTTTTGTAACTTACGATAAAGTGAAATGAATAAAAACAATTGTATAAATAGGTCTGATGTATCTCCAGTGTGCTCAAGAAAAGGGACATTATGTTTAGCTTCCAAAAGGCAAAATTAACATTTTTTGCTAGCCACATGTAACAGTTCCTGATTTGTTTTAAGAATACGGGTGTAAGTCTTCATGCTTAGTGGGTTATCATTGGTGTGATTCCCGCCAAAATACTCCTATTTAAAAACACACCACTCATCCCAAATGAGCAAAAAAAATTCACTGCCTACTCTTGGATAGACCTGTACAATCACGTTAAAATTTGCCTAAGTATGAAAATTATAATAATATTTTCCTTATTTTAAAATTCAAGATATATTTGCAGTTTTCATCCCTTTACCATACAGTACCCTACATTACACACAGTATATATTTGTTGTTCTATACGCAGGCTACTGACCGATGGGAGATTTTTTGTTACATATGATATGTAGAATTGATCAGTTTTCAGTAAATGGATCTGTCCATCAACTGATCAGTAACTAAGCCAATTGGACAGCAAATTAAACAATCCATATATAGCCTGATATAGTAAAATAAATCGTTACGTATTTGTAATACTATATACAAGGGCCGTAAAGTATCAGAAAAGATTGTATCAGTGATGGAGAACAATAAAACATGTTATTCCAATAGTTTCATCTCATTTGCTTAGGCATTTTCATATTTTGTTTAGCGAACCTGCCGCCCACCAATAATGATGAGTTTTTCTTCACTTTTATTTTCCCGCCACTGCCTTGAAATATGCAAAAATAATACTGTATTTGTATATAAATATAAAGCATTTAACCATCCCATTATTACACTGTTTACATTTACCAATAACATTTTATTTTTATTTTCTCCTCCGTCTGAATGTTTTTTGGCAAAACCAAATGCTAAATTAAAAAACAATTTTATTTTCATTCTTTTTCCACCCTTTTCTGCAGATCATTAAAAAAATAAGTTCGCAAAAAAAGGAATAAAAAGTTTTGCTTTATCCATTGTTCTGGGTTTATTAACGATTAAACAGTTCTACAACAATAAAACGTGTTTATATAAAATGTTAGGTTTCACATCACTTGTGCCATAGTATCAATGCATTCTATAATGTACAACTTAAAAGTTTGAATTATGCATCTTTCTTTTGTATAATAATAACACTATAGCTCCTCTGGTTTAAGCCCACCCTCCTTGAAAACAAAATTGGGCCATTCATATTTTTTTTGGGGGGGAGGGGGAGAGGTGGGGGATAAGTGGGATATACCCAGGAATATCTTTTCAATTAAATGACAATTTTTAAGCACTGTATGCGTAATTCAATGCCAATATTTGCTATTTCTTTCTGAGAATACTTGTAAAAGTCATGGCCTCGGCATTTGTCAAAGCCTGGTAAGTAAAATAGAGCAGTGGGCTTATACAAGAGGTAGGCTTTTTTACAAGAAACTATGGTAATATAAGGAAATGTTGGATTGAGTACATCACACTACCACATAGAGAATATGGGAATTAAACTTATGATTTTTAAATAATTCTTAGAAACTAGGTTTCTGATTGGTAAACCAGCTGCATAAATCATCAGCAGTATGTCATAATAATTTGTATGATACAATAGAAGGAGAAATCTAATTAAATAAAATTTAGTTATGATTATTCTTTTTAAATGTTATTTAGTGAACCCAGATAAAAATATTTTATCATTATTATTATTAAAAATAATCACCATTTGGTCAAAAATATTATTAATAAACATATTGAGAATGAAAGATGGTGTAAAAAGGATAAGCGACAACTTCAGGTGACAAATTAGTAAATAAACACCTTCATGCTAACCTCTTGCTGCTAATCTTGAGTTGTCCTCTAAATGCAGGAGGGCAGTGTTTCCCTCGAGTCCCAATTCTCCTCGTGCAGTCTCCTCTTTCTCTATGTAGCACTTATTCGTGAAGGCTGTACGTAATGAGTCCTCCGAGAATTCTTCACCGAGCCTTTTGCCAAAAGCATATAACTCACTGCCATAATTCCTATCAAGGTAAATGGAAAATTGCTTTACAGAACTGGTTTCAAAGCTTATATTTGAAAAGTCAACTATATTAAAGCAACAGTAAATTTGATTACAGTACAGCTGGACGTCTGAACCTTACACTTTAAAATCAACTTAAATCCCCTTCCCCTAATCCACCTTAACTACACTGTATAAATCATAAATTTTATGCTTTCTGATATTCTACTTGTCTTAAAAGTTTCAAGTAAAATATACACCATACATAATAGACCGACATTAAGCAGATACATATACAGCACTTCATCAATCAAACATTTATACCAAGTATAAAAAATGTGCATATTTTCAAATGGGGAAAATCTTTGCCTGTCGGTGCAAATGAATTACCGGTAGTACGAGTCTTTTTCCAACCAGTAAGCGTAATAAAAATGTACTGCTATTTCCATATTGACAAATAAAACTGAATGAATAATTAAAACACATATTCAACTAATAATAATAAAGTTTCCTTTAGTCAATGTTTGACTATGTGTACCCATAAGAAATGAAATGATAATAGCTTTATGGTCTACCATAACAAGTAAGCTTACAAAATGACAGTTAGTATATATTTTGATATCCATCTTCTTAAAATCATTGGTTGTTCCTCAGTTTAAAAATATTGTTTTTAATTCAACTTTGAATTAAACTAAATTTAGAAATGTTAAAGACATATTTATTAGGTGTCTGGTGGCAACTTTAATAAAATGTGTATCAATATCTACATTAGCAGTAATAGTAAGAAATATACTAAAAAAAATTGAGTATTTCTTTTGGCAAAGAAAAAAAAAATGATATTACCTCGATTGAAACACCTAAGTCCTTCTGTTATAATTACTAAGTCACTAATGTGCTAAGTAGTACTTATTTCACTTGGCGTGGTGATTAATATTTTTTCTTTCTTTAAATCAATTAAGATTCAATTTTATAAATGATGTAAGCCACTTCTAGAGCTAGGATTATCGTTGACCTCTGTGATAATTAACCTATAAACCTGACCCACATGAACACAAGAAAAACGATTATAACTATTGTGGCTACTGCTGCTTACGTTTACTTATTAAAATTACTGCTATCATTATTACTGGTTATTATGATTACTGATATTACATTATTAATATTACTCTACTGTTTCTGTTATTATTATTCAATTATTACTATTAGTATTCTCTTATGTTTTTATCTGTTTATTTATTGTTATTTATTTGTCTGTCAGCATATTTGTTGTGAACAGCCTTACAGCCCATAGTTTTTATCAGAAATTCATCAAACTCGGCCACAATGTTCCTTTACTTAAGATCTAGAGCTGATTAAATTTTGAAAAGTTATGGTCAAAGGTCAAGGTCACAATCAACGTATTTGTCTACAGCCCATATTTTTAATCAGAAACTTGTCAATCTTGGCCACAATGTTTTTTTACCTAAGATCTAGAGCTGATTAAATTTTAAAGGGTCAGGGTCAACGGTCAAGGTAACAATCAACAAAAAACTATTTAAAAAAATTTATTTGTCTACAACCCATAGTTGTCATAGTGCACAAACTTGTCAAACTTGGTCACAATGTTCCATGACCAAAGATCTCAAATTATTTGAATGTTGAAGGGGAAGGGCTAAAGGTCAAGGTCACAATCAACAAAAAACAATTTTTTTAAAAACAGTTTTTATCAGAAATTTGTTAAACTTGGCCACAATGTTCCTTTACCAAAGATCTGGAGGTGACTAAATTTTGAAGGGTCAGGGTCAAAGGTTACACAAATCAATGGTGATGTTGGTAGCCTATGAGTGGATACTTACCTGGATAAACCGACATATTGCCTATTCTTTCTCACACATGAGAACACCCCTTGAAAAATAAAAGAACATTCGACTCCTGGCACCAAGCTCAAGCGGCCCTGCCACCATGCAAATTATGATGTGGGCGGAGGTGTCCACTCTCCGAGTGGCCTCTAGTTGCTAATATTTTAATGTTAACTATTATTAAATTATAAACAGTTTTACTGATAATAATATTACTGTATTGTTGTACCATTAAAACTGACTTACTGAACTCCAGGACTTTCTTTCTGGATTAGAAATTCAGAATTAAAGATGAAGTAGCAAGTACTGTACATAGCACTTTACTAAGAATATGTGTAGGTGGAGGAAGAGAGAAGAGAATAGCAGAAACAGTAGATAGATACTGTAAAAGGGGTAATTAAAGTTGTGTTGCTCTAGGAAAGCCTAAAAAGAAGGAAGATCATGAAAGGTGATTAAACAAAATAGCCAGCAAATTAAAAAAATCACATGTAGGGCTTCTAAATCAAAACATATGAAACGTTATGAAAGTACATAAGGCTCATACTGCATATGGCACCAGCATTTCTTATGAAAGATTGTGTGCTATTGTAACCTAACTTTCCAGCTAAAATGATTGTACCAAGGACAATAGTTATGTAAGGATCTCCAGTTCAATGGTTATAACTGTAGATACTCTATTTAAAAAAATGTTTATGTTCAAACTTCTATTGCTTGGTTTATATTTTGTGTGTGTATTTATATATTTATATTCTTTTAATTTTTTGTTAAATAATTTTTTATATTGTATATATTTTTGTTATGTTTAAACTGTGCCACTTTGAAAATCAGTAAAAAGAAAGGATAAATACATAAATAAATAAATAACATTTCCGTTTAAAAATCCTAACATAAAAGACATAAACTAATACTTGCACAGTATTTTGATATTCAATTTGGTATTATTACATCCCTAGTTATGCATCACTGATATAATATAAATTTACATTGTACTGAACTGAATGAAAGTAAAGCGAATGAATATAAAGTAGAACATGGTGAATTCATCACAATTAAACATAAACACAATGTTTTCAAATCTTCAAATTCAACACATACTGATTAAAATGTTGACATACTGTAATAATCTACATTAAAGTCAATCATGACATCATCATTATCATTTGCACGTAATTTTCCTATCCGCAATTTGATAAGATCCCTCCTAATTTTTGCATCTTGTGTGCAAAAAGCTGAAGTTTTACATTGTAATGAATATTTCGTTGTTAGGCCAAGCTCTGGAGAGACAGCAAACCTAACAAATCTCGCTCTATGGTGCTGGTTAACACACATGAAGCCTAGACCAGACCTAGGCAAGGCCTAGAAAGGCATACTGTATGGTTATAAGATAACAAGGTGATTGACTTATATAAGAACTAAAAAGAGAAGGAAACGCTGAAATAATTAATTAACAAATACATTTTAATCTAAGTATTAAACAAATGTCTACAATGAGTTTAGGCCTTCCTAATAACACCTAATAAACTTCATCAACCACAATCAATTTATTCATCTTTATCTTACCACAAAGAGCTGCACAGAATGTCATTGCAAGTACTTCTAGCAAATCATTCTCATACGCGTAGCTAATGCACAAGCGTAGTTATGTATTGACAACTGAGCAACCTGTAACCGCAGCAGCAGTTTGATTTTATACTGTAGCCTAAGAAAACAGGGTGACTGACTTATAAAGCAATTATTGTCAAGTTATCTCAAATCCTATGTATAGAAAAATAAGCATTAGGAGCCATTATTTCCTTTGAACAATTTTCCAGGAAATAATGTCTCCTTCGGCCTGTATTTTCTATAGGTCCTTAGAACTTGACTATAATGGCATAGATTTTCTTGAGATTCAACTTTGCAACCCCTTCCCTTAAATATTTCCCAGCAAACTCTAGTAAAACCCAAGCCTTTGTTCAACACATGCAATTGCTTGTGATGGTTGTTATTTCTATTAATCACTACAATATGAGACCCTATAATTATTACTATCACCAATTATCATTATCTAATATTACTGAAAGAACAGAGTAGAGCTTTATGGAAAAATACTGTGTAAAGAATCTTACCAGCAGCCAAAGGATGACGATCAAAATTACATTTTGTATTTTTGACTTTGTTCTTAAAATTGAAATGTATTCGTTATGAATTCTAGGAAAACCAAAAAAACAAAACTGTAGGAAATTTAATCCCAAGAGGAGTGCTGTATCAAATAACCATTATTTTTTTTACTTAAATTAATACTTTTATTGACCAATAAAAATAGCATACATAATATAATTACCAAATAGTCACATAATGGTGCACAGTAAGAGAATCAAGAAGGAGAAACAAGTGATATTCCAGGTTTTAATTTCTTTCCATCCAGTGTAAATTACATTAATAATCTTAAGAGCTGATTATCACATTTCAGTGGTAAGCTTTCATAGGCAAGTTTAGCTGTGCACGCAATAAGAACGGACTCAGACATATAATAGTGCAAGGGACAATCAACTCATGGGGGTCACACAAAACTAGGCCAATCCACTGAGAGGAGATGCTATATGTATATGTAATTAAACAAAAAATACTCATCAATTTGAATAATTGAAACAGCCCAGTGACTTCTCTAGCTCTACAAAAAAAAATTATAATAAGATCGATTATCTAATGGATTTAACGTATTGCTACATCTGCAGTTATGGTCACAGACCCACATCTCTTCTGCCGCAAATGTACATTATACATAAGGCAGAAATATGCATTTTAATATGCACTCATCATAACGTAGTTATCCTATGAATGGCATGTAGCTATAAGAATAATAGATGAAATCAAGACAAAAATGAGACATATTTTAGGAGGCAAATTTTAAGGTAAAATAGAGGCACACTTCCAGAATTAACCACATTCTAATTCATTCTGTTTGAAGGGGTGTTCTCATTTGGCGGAGAACAAGCAATTAGTCAGTTTATTCAGGAAAGTATTTATGAAGTAGACAAACTCCATTTGAGTTCTGGTACAAAAATCTTACGATGTTGCTTATTTCGGTTAATAATCCTACTGAAGGGTGTGCCAAACTTTATGGGGATATAACTGCAAGCATCTCAAAAACCTCAACACAACAAAATCTTGACTTGTTTACCATTCCTTTGAGCTGTAGCTTAGC